CACCCTGCAAATCACAGTAGATGGTGGCAACATTTGAGGTCACTTGCACGTCAGCACACGTGTGCCATTGGAATCACAGGAAAACATGGCTTCAACTTTGAACATGTCCACCACCACGGAAGCAAGCCGCACATTTGACCAGGTGAAAAGGCCCGCTGCATCCATTTGAAAGAGTGATTTGTTTCCAAACATATTCAATAAGCTACTAGGAACAAGTGCATCGCTACTAGGAGCAAGGGCCTTAGTAGTAGTAACAAGAAGCTATTAGAAACAATAAATATAATTGGAATTTACTACTAGTAACAGGTGCATCGCTACGAGTAACAAGTGCATCGCTACTAGGAGCAGGTAGCGACTAGTAACAATGTGTCATTTGATTCTCGCTGTAAGGACCGCTCATCGAGACATGAAGGATTTAACCCAAGCAAAGAATGGCTTGGATATCTATGGTCGAAGGCGCGGCTGAAACCAACTTATATCCAGTACAGTTGAAAGACAAGTCCTTTGCAGTGACAGTGAGGGAACTGATACTGGATGTGGATTAAACTCTTACTGTAGACTTTTAGATGTTGGATGATGTTGGTAATTTCGTAATGGCCACTAGTAGACACTCATTTGTGCAGTCTTCGGTCCAGCGGAGAAACATTTACAGGCTTCATTTCTTTTTCAGACATGATGTCCAGGGGAGGCAACAACTCCAGTAAGTGCTCTTGTGGGCACTACTGAGTACAGTTGAGAGCAAAACATTTCAAAGGTGTGCCAGAGATCCCAACAGAAAGGGGTCCCTATTTTTGAAGCCCAAACATGGACGTTGCCAAGTGCGGATCCTGCATTGTGTGCACACCTTGGAGTCAGAGGTTGTCTCTGGACACTGCATTTGATAAAGCAGGGGGCTGGAGATATCTACCAACGAAGACACATCGGTTGCGCAGTGATACAATTCCGGAACGCCAGGGTTACGTACCTGCTATATGATATGGTTGTAGTGCTTTAACACTCGTTGTGGCTGTTTAGGTCTTTCAGGTCGGCAGACACGCATCGGCATGTGCACTGACTTCGTGGATTTGATCTGTTGGAAATCGCTTTCGATGGCAACTTCTTGAACTTGGAGGTGGTTGAACCCCGCTGCAGACTACTAGATCAGACATACTATATTTTGAGTGCGTGTCCATCCAACTTTCCTGCTGCGGCGTGACAGTGTGTGGCCAGACTTTGTAGTTCGCATAGGTAGCCTGTTTCTGAAGCTGTTGGTCAGGTCTACAACTAGCCCAAGGTTCACGGGAGTTGTGTTGCCCAACCGCAAGATCGCAGGAAAGAGGCTGAGGCCAAAGAGACCAAAGCAGACAGACAGACTCGTGGCAGAACGGCAAGCGTTGGGGTCTTAATGCAGTTCTAACCGATTGTCCTATGGGGCATTCATAGTCGACCTGCTCAGGTTTGCCCATTACTGCCTGTGCTACAACCTTGTGCTGAGAATTTAGTAGGGAGCGGTCGAGAATTTCAGGTATGAAAGCCAAAAGCGATAGCTTAACAATTGTTGAACTCATTTCGGCGTACCCACTTTCGAGTCACAAAGTTTCTGACTTTGCAGCAAAGTACGCTCACTACCGCACTGTCCTAGGTTTTTTGAAAGGAAAATAGAGTCTATCGGTGTCAGAACCGCTTACAAGCTGTAAACCTGGAAGGAAGGAGATGGGGAGCAGGACTCAACACCATTAAAAGGTGCCACGAGCTAAAGAGGGCTCCTGGCCTTACTACTGGGAACAAGAAGCTACTACAAGGGTGAAAAGCTACGTCCCGGCGCTCAGTACATCTGGTCGAAAAAACATCACGTCTGGTTGAGTCATATCAAGTTGCCAGGCCACACGCACGACACAGACATTCCAATACTGCCAAAGCCTTCCTCAAAAGTGACAATTTTTTTGCTGCAGTTTTGGAATGTTTTGGATATGTTCAGCTATGTTGAAAGTCTGGGGCCTGAAAAAGCGATAGGCCGATAGGCCCTCCTCAAAAACAATAACCTTGTTGGATCGTATTCGTTAGCAAGACGCTTCGGCTGGCGGTCATTGAGTATTTTTTCTGTGAAAACCTAATGAGACATGTTTGGAATCCAATTCATTTTTGATGCAGATTGTGATTGTGCCAGACATGAGCAGGAGGTCGATCCTGTCAGACCCTGATGCGATCGATTGTAAGTCACCACATCTCAGGAAGGCTGCCTTAGACCGGCTTCGGCATCGCAAAGAACTATCGCCCCCGCGGCCCTCGCACTTCCGGGACCGGATAGGAATGATATGGGTAAGGGTTTGGATGAAAACGCAGAATAAACATTGCCCCAGCGAGCAGGGCTTGACCTAAGCTACTTGTGAATATTTCTGACACTTTGGGTCGGAGGCTACTTGTGATGGACACGAGACACAACATGCACTTGTGACACAATTGAGCTTCAGCTGGAGACAAAAAGAATTACACCAGCATGGACCCAGATAGCTAGGCAGAATCCCACGACCTGTTGACATGCGACTGGCTGGAACAAGAATGCACGCAGCCTGCACAGCCAGCTTACAGCACCTCCACAGCGCGCGCAATCAGCTGACACCAGCACCGGTGCGCTTTGCCAGCTGACAACACCGGCAGCGGCGCCAGCACCCGACCAGCGCCGCCACCCGTCCGCGCGCTCAGCCAGCTCACAGCACCAGCGCCCAGGACCACAGCACCAGCACCAGCACCGACACCCTTTCGAAAGCGCGCGCAGCCAGCTCATTCTTATTTGCAGCAAGAAGCCCCATAGCTATATGATCTTGCAACGCATGATCTGCACGTATAAGTTTATGCGCACAAAAGTGTGCGCGCAAACGGCAAAGCCCATAAGTGTCATTGGCCCAAGGCCAAGCAGTATCCAGCGCCACTGTTGACTTTGTAGCATGCTTGAAGCAACGATCTGCAGAACGATAAGGCCGTATGATCTTGCGCGTACAGGTTTATGCGCACAAAAGTATGCGCACAAACGGCAAAGCCCGTAGGCTTCACTCGCCCAAGGCCAAGCAGTATCCAGCGCGAATATTGTGTGTGTGCAGCATGCTGAAACATGCTGAAACAATGGTCGGTTGAGAGCCTGGCGTTGCGGATAGAACATTATACGTACAAAAGTATGCGCTCCAACAGTACAGCCCTTGACACAGTTCTCGCCCAAAACAGAACCTGAAGAGTGTAAATACCCCACAGCGCTACTAGACGAAGAACGCTCAAGCGACAACACCGTATGATGTTGTGCGCATAAGTTCATGCGGCCCATGACTGCTGGCACTTCATTGTCAGCAGCAGTGCTTGGTCGCCCTTCACTGCTGCAAGCGGCGGTTTCTTACCCTTCACTGTCAGAACCGGCGCTTTTTATAACTTAACTGTCAGAAGCGGGCACCAGCACCAAGCACCGGCATGCCAGCTCACGGCGCCCAGCACCAGCGCCGGTGTACCCAGCACCCAACACCCGCGCCCAGCGCCCAGCGCCCTGTCTCCACCACACGCAAAGCCAGCGCCCAGCACCAGCGCCCAGTCTCCACCACGCGCACTGCCAGCTCACAGCACCGGCACCGGCGCTCGCTGTCTCTACCAACCGGCACCGCAGCCGGCTCACAGCACCAGCGCCAGCGCCGGCGCCCGGCGCCCAGCACCACCACCAGCACCAGCAACCTGTTTCCACCACGTGCACAGCCAGCTCACAGTACCAGCGCCAGCACCGGCGCCCACCGGGCACCCCGCACCAGCCAGCTCACAGCACCAGCACCAGCACCGGCACCCAGCACCAGCACCACCAGCACCAGCAACCTGTCTCCACCCAGCCAGCTCACACCGGCGCCAGCACCAGCAACTTGTCTCCACCACGTGCACAGCCAGCTCGCAGCACCAGCACCGGCACCTGGCACCCGGTACCAGCACCCTCCACCACGTGCACACCAGCACCGGCGCCCAGCACCAGCGCCGGCGCCAGCAACCTGTCTCCACCGCGTGCACAGCCAGCTCACACCACCGGCGCCCGGCACCCAGCGCCAGCACCGGCGCCAGCAACCTGTCTCCATCACGCGCACAGCCAGCTCACAGCACCAGCGTGCACAGCCAGCTCACAGCACCAGGACCGGCACCCGCCACCCAGCACTAGCACCGGCACCGGCGCCCAGCACCAGCAACCTGTCTCGAAAGCGCGCGCGGGCAACTCATTGTTATTTGAAGTAAGAACCTCATAGCTTCGCTATCTGGGGAATAACTTATTATGTATATATATGTATAACAGTATAACAGAAAGCTCTTTTGTCACATTCAGGTAGGTAGACATTGCATTGATGCGATGTTGTGTTTTGTCAGAATACGTCCGGGCACTTCAATCAAAACACTGTCACAGACAGGAGAGATCCTCTCGAAGTCGGAGCATGCAGCGGCGGAAGAATTCAAAACGAGTCTTTAATTTCGCCCGGTAGCTGCAGGAGGGTCAGTCAGCTGTCACCCATAACAACTTTAGCTAAAGACCCTTCTGGTCCACGTTGATGCATTGTATTGTTCAATCGTACTTGTGTTGATGATTGTTGGTCATTGTTTTTCATTCGTATCTTGAGTACTTTATGAAGTTGTGGCAAGTTGGTGGACCAGAGCCTGTGTATTTACGGTGATGCTCCCAAAGGAAGCGCAATCCAGAGAGCTTTCGGACTCTGCAAAAAGTAAAATTATCACCAGATTCATATTGCCAAGTTCCAAAGACGAGCATGTTTTTCTTTTGTGGACATCATTGCGTAATGAGAACATGTTGGCACCTCCAACCAGTCTCAGCTGCTTGTGGCAGAAGGCCGCACATAGACATAGTGAGTGACGCTGCCAAGTGTGAACCAAAAAGAAGTGGCTTTCTATGTCCTTGGGTTGCACACTCCAATCTATCGAGAGTGGATGGGGATCTCGTTGTTGCACACACCAGCATGGCAATTGAATCGTATCATGTCCAGTTGACATTTGAGGCCCTTCAGAAGAACTGAAAGCGCTCTCCTTGGCCACGGCAAAAGCAGTTTGCCAACGTGATCCTGAGGCATGAAAGTTCAGCAGTTTGTTCCGGGCTGAAAGAATAATATGACCTTACAGAGCAAACCAAACCTAACAAGAAAAACAGATGATGGCCCAACGGCGCTCAGAGAAGACATTCCATTCCACAATTCAACGATTGGCCTTGTCTTGGCAGATTTCTTGGATTTCCTAAGTTGGTACCTCAGGGTGCCTGTCCAATATGCCTTCTTGGCTGGCAGCCAGAAGACAGGCTTGGAACAGCCTAGGATGGAGTATGGAGTCGGGAACACAACAGGTTGCTGATAGATGGATGTGGATCTAGGGTTTGAGCATACAAGATTCGGGAGGATCATGGAGACTGCATGCAAACCACACATTGTTCTTTGGTCGCCTTTGGTCTTGTTTGAAGCAATGGGTGTGTTTCATTGTCTCTTCCTATGGAAGTTTGGCCTTTGCATGGACTTGGCAGAACTGATGTTGTCCTCGTTTCCTAGGATGGATCGTGATTCTATTATGTATATGTTGACTATGCAGCTATGCATATATGATGTGTATTGGAACTGCTTGCAGAGCTACAATCCATGAGAAGTGATATTCGCCCGTGGCCAATGTAAATGTTCAAGCACTCATGCCTGCCTTGAATCCCCGGACCGTCATTTCTCTCGCCCTTGGTTTTGTGGTGGGCCGGCACTCGGGGATCTGAAGACCGAGTGACCGGTTTTGATCTTAGGGTTCTGTCAGAGGAACTGAGCTCGACAAGGAGCACCTTAGGCCAATACAGTGGGTGCGAGGAGACACTGCGATCCGAGATTTGACACTCTGCCACCGGGCCCTGAGCGTTGCATTTCGTTGTTTGTTGCTTGTGGAGCTTTTCCTGTTGGCAGCTTGCTGGATTGTCGGTTGTTTTTCCTCTCGGCGGACTGTGCCCCGGGCCGCCTTGACTGCGGCTGCAGGGGACTCAGGAGAGGAGACTCGTTCGAGCACGATCTCGGAGACGCCCAGGGAGGCTGGAATAGTTCGTCGTTCAGGGCCTGTGAGGCCATCAGATCTGAGACTCCATGGCTAATCCGGTCATGACCTTGGACATCCCGGAAATCCAGATCATCGTAGAGCACCCGGCTGATCCAAATGCCTTCTATTGGGACAGGCACGACCTCAATGTGCAAAATCACAAGGTCCTTGAGAGACACTCGGCATTTTCTAGAGCCCATGTGGTCCCTATGTGTACGCCATAAACCCAGTATCAGGAGCAGTTCTAGAGTCCAAGAAACGTGCAGCCAAGGCACAAGCCATAGTTTTGGGTGATGAGGACATGATGGACATTGCTCAGACAGTTTGGGTCGTTGCACAAAGGGACAAGGCAAACTATGGGTGAGGTGGTGCCTCACGACATTGTTGAAGACGATCAAACCGCAGTCATCTATGAGACACATGACGGAGAGGAAGTGTTCATTCAGAGCATGCCTGTATGAGAAGTGGAGGAGTTTAAGAAAGCAGGCAAGAAAGATGATCAGGATTCACGGCTTCTGGGAGTCTGCACAGACAACTCAGGCAAGAGGAGGTTGGAGTTAGATGGTTTGCTGCTAGAGACGATGACTGACTTTCCCCTTGGCGGGGAAGTCCGAGCTGTGAAGGAGTTCTTGGAGGCGATAGTTGAGGGCCCTGGTAGCTTGGCTCGATATCATACAGATTGGGCCAGACTCAGTGGCATTGCAGATGGTTCCAGCATTAACCATGAAGCAGTTACAAAGAAGTTTACAGAGCATCTTACCAACCTTCTCAAAGCCCGTGCCACCATCTGGAAGCAAGAACGCCTGTACCAAGAGGAGCTCAGACATCAGGCGGCCGCATCATCGAGAGGAGACAAAGGAGATGGCAAGGGCAAGGGTCCGCCGCGACGGCGTGAGAGAAGAGTGGGACGGGCCGCCTTACAGTGGGGGCGCAATGGCGGCTCGTTCAGGACAGCCCCCAAGATTGCATGTGCCAGTTGAGACAGTGGGTCGTGATCGTCGACATCGTGGATCCATTCCTGCTACCACCCGAGGTTGGGAATTCACAACCTTTCACCTTAGGCCAGCGGCTGATGAACGAGGCTGTAAGATCAGTCAACGGATTTGCCGGCTCGATGTTGAATTCAAAGAGACCGACGAGGCGCTCACACAACTCTGGTTCAGTGACAGCCGTGCAGGAGGCGATGCTTGAAGACATGAGAAGATATTCAAAAGAAAGTTGAGACCGACGGATGCCATGACTCTCTGTCCCCCTCCCGTGAAGGAGACGCTCAAACACCAGGCCCAGTTCATTGAGAAGACGGATGAGGAGATTCAATGCCAGCAACCAGAGAAGGCTCCCACGGAGCCGCATTGGGACCCAAGCTTGAAGAACGACAGAAGCAAACGAAAACAGCTCTACATTGCACTAGAAGAATCGGGACTTTTGTGTTTCAGACGCAGGAGGAGGTCCACAATCGGTTTCTTCACTGTCAAAAAGAAAGACGGAATGCAGAGATTGATCTTGGATTGCCGGTTGGCGAACATGTGCCACCACCGCAGACCCCCAACTACAAGGCTTGCTACACCAGCCTCGTTCCGGGCATCGACCTGACTGAGGAGACGTTCAATAGCCGTGGCTTTGGGGGTATCCTAGGTGAGGCAGCCGGAAATGAAGGGGATGTTGGTGATTGTTTCTACAACTTTGCAATACTTGGGTTGGCTTCCTATTTTGCAACAAAAGATGTGTTTACAACAGGGGAGCTGAAAAGCATGGGAATTCTCCCGGACCTCCTATGACGAGGAGTTTGGGAGAATGGTGACCCCGGTGCCAGGAGAGAAGTTGATGTCTTCGAGGCATTCCCATGGGCTGGACTTGGGCCCTCCACATCAGCAATGAGATAGTGGCTCACCAGTTAACTTGTCCTTGCAGGGGTGCCGAGACCAGAGACAAACAACCTCCGCCGGAGGTGTTGCAAGGGGGAACAGTGATTGGGACATATGTTGACAATGTGCAAGTGTTGGGCGGTTGTCGAGAAGACGTTGACAACCATATGACAAAGATAGTTCAATGGTTTGAGCGGCTTGGGGTTCCTTTCACAACAGCTGGTGAGCAGGCATTGGCAGAGTTTGAAACGCTGGGCATGGTTTTTGACACGAAGCACAGATGCATTAGACACAGGTCGAAGAGGGCTTGGAGGCTTTACTTGGCGACCCGTTCTTTACTTCGTGGGGGGGCGAGTGTCAGGTGAGATATTGCGGATTTGGCTGGGGCATGTGGTGAATCACTTCCAGCTGATGCGACCGGCAACCTCTTGCCTCCATGCTTGTTATCGTTTTGTACAGGCAGCTCTGGGCAGTCGCATGATGGTTTGGCCGTCGGTGCGGTCTGAGATGAGGCTGGTGTTGGGCCTCATTTTCCTAGGACATTCACTGATGACCACTCAAGCTGAGACAGCGGCTGTGAAGGAAGCGATGTCTTTTGAGGAGAGGTGGCGGCTCATAGAGGCTGAAAGAGAAGAGACCCCAGCTATGGAGAGACACACAGCTGAGGAGGTGTCAGGCTATCGCCCTGATGCCTCACTGGGCATGAAGACGAGCTACGGTCTCCTCATGCAACAACACCTGGAATACCATACACTGCTGCGACAAAGGTACAGGGGCCCTGACAGAAGGCAACTTCAAAAAGGACATTCGGAGACGGTGGAAGTCCCCTCATTGCGCAAGCCGTTGAAGAGCGAATGGCTCATCAAGACAGAGTATACAAACTCCTGTTGGCCAGAGCACATCAACAAGCAAGAAGCGTGGGTATCTCTGATGGGACTTCGTCAACACTGCCGGCGTCGTTTTTGCATGGGCACCCGTCTGTTGACGTTGTCTGACAACATGTCCAGTTCGCTTGCTTTTACAAAAAGGGCGGCCAAAGAGCTATGGGCTAACTCAGCTAGTCCGACGCAGTGCAGCCTACACCATAGCAGGCAGATACAGTAAAACATCCGTCACGTCAAATCAGCAGACAATGCTTCAGATGAGAGCAGTCGGTGGCATGATCGTGGTGTTGCAGAGAGGTGGAGGAGAGGGCAGAAGCAAGACAGGGAGGTGGACGGGGAGTCGCAGACACTTCAAACCATTGGCGAAGGGGGGCTGGAAATGCAGCCCCTGCATGTCGAAGACATGAGCAATGACTCAACATGGGACTATGACAAAATCACAGGGTCAGACCGTGGGGTTCTGAGGGCGTTGGTGGCGCACTCACCCCTTTTCATTTTGGAGCTGTTTTCCGGGAGTGGGAGACTGACATCGGCTATCAGTTCACAGGGCTTGGCTGTTTTGCATCCTTTTGAGATTTATCAGGGCTGGGAGTTTGCTTTGACAAGACCGTCTACTCAGGCTCTGGTCCTGGACCTCATCAACAAGGGCCTGGGGTGGTAGGGGTGCCTTGCACTGTTTGGTCGATCGCCTGAAAGGGCATAGCAAATCACGAACGAGCTCGCGCACGTGAAGCGGTTGCAGTTCAGCTGACAATGTTCTGTGTAGCTGTGTTTAGAGCCCTGAGTCGCATAGGAAGATACTGGGGCATGGAAAACCCAGCCTCATCTAGAATCTTTCAGTTTAGACCGGCGGTTGAACTTTTTGGGCTCCCGCAAGTGTGCGTGGCGGGAGGAGCGCGAGAAACCTGCCTCCCTTCTTACAAACTTTGTTGGTTTGAAGGCATTGGCCCAAAGGTGTACTCGTGATCATACACATGTAGTCCTGAGTGGCCGCGAGCAATACAAGACAGTTGATGGTCAGTGGACGTGGCGCAACAAGACATCCGCCGCCGGAGAGTATCCCTGGCCACTGTGTCGTTGTTGGGCAAACATACTATAGGTGAACATGCCCCTCAAATTGCTCGGCCCAAGACACAACAGGATTCGCAGACATTGTTCACGAACGCCTCAAAGAGATTGCTGGCAGATGCCCCATCTCACAAGGCAGCGAAGAGGCCAAAAATCATCCAGACCTCCAGCCGTCCAATCGCCCTTACATCGGGCCCGCAACTACAAGCGCCCCATCATCTTCGGGCAGCGCGCCAAAGCTCAAGCAGCCTGGCTCCGTAGCCAGGGTGCGTGAAGAGCGAGCTACTAGACGAGCCAAGTCTACTAGCTCGCTTGAGACTTGGTTCAAACCTGAGGAAGGATCAACTGCGCTTGAAATCCGTGACAAAACCAACTTTGAAGCGGTGCATCGAGTCAGTGCATCAGTTCAAGTTGTGGGCGAGAGCCAGCCGGAGGTCCTTGGCTACCCATGAGGCGGTAGACAAGGCCATGTGCATTTTCCTTCTAGAGTTGTACTACGATGGGGCACACATCTGGGAGGGAACATACACAGTTTATGGTTATCAGTTTTTGTACAACAGAGGTGCTGATGCGACCTATCTGACAGGAGCTAAGAAAGGCCTCAAGGCATTCAGACGCCGGCAGCCTTCGCAAATGCGAAAGCCACAGTTCCTGAGGAGGTAGTGCGCGCTGTGGGCGCCCAGTTGTTGAAGATGGGACATGTCGACACAGCAATAGCAATGGGCGTCCAATATCATGCATACATGCGGCCATTCCGCTGCAACACCTACAACTGTGTCCTCCGGTTCGGCGTGCGCTCAATGCGTACCCCCGCTGGGCCATTGTTCTGGCTCCTGACGAGTTGGGAGTCACTACAAAGACGGGGGAGAACAATGAAAGTGTGTTGATTGACAATCAGTACCATGCGTGGTTGTCTCTGGTGTTGGCGGCAATTTACAACCGGGGTTCGAAGTCAAGAGTTTTTCCGAAGCTGACCCTACACATGTATGAGGAACACTTCAAGCAGGCCGTGACAGCCACGCAACTGCCTTTAGATCTGACACCGCACACCATTCGTCACAGCGGGCCTAGCAATGCTTTTTGTCATCTCCGGAAGACACTCAAGCAGATCCAGCGGCATGGTCGATGGGCAGCAGAGAAAAGTGTTAAAAGATATCAGAAGAGTGCTCTCCTCATGCAGGCGTGGTCAGTCTTGGACTCAGTGCAACAAGACAAGATTGCGCAAGCCGCTCGTTTGTTTCCTACAAAAATCCAAAGAGCTGTCCACGGTTGAACCAGAAAACTGTTTGGGCAGTTTGCGGGCACAGGTATGGGACAGTCGAGTTCCAACATGTTGAGCTGAAAACAGCTTGGCACTACAGCAAGAAGCCTAGAACACATAGGCTGAGCGCGAAAACAATGTGCTGGGTGAAGGTGAGCGCATTGAGGGATTGTGTATATATATGTTAATAATTCAACGTATATCTAAGTTTATACACACACATTGTGTGATGAGTCGCATTTTTTGTGTTTGCAGTGTGCTGGTGCTGTCCTGCAACCATGTCTTGCACGTGGACTGCTTCTGGAAGATGTCAGACACCCAGTTGAACAATCTCACACATGTCATGCTGAGGCGCAGCTTGAAAAACAATGTTATGCACAACTGCTTGCAATCCTTTTTTGAACTTCCCCTTTAGGAGGGTCGCTACATTAAACTAGCGAACTTGGTTTGGAAAGAACGATGCTTGACCAAAAGCACTGAGCTATACTCAGCTCAACTTAGCTAGCTAGCCTGTCAGTTGTTTTGGTGCATTGAGTGCTAGAGCTGGCCCATGTTGGTATTCATGGTTGGTTGTTGTTAGGTTTGATGATCACCTTTCACCACCTTTCACCTTGGGTTGGGAATGCTTGGGGCTTGGTGCACTCTTGCAGCGGACGTACAATGCTTGTTTGTCAAAACACGGTGTAACCATGTGTAACCAATTGTTTGTAAACAATCGAAAGCAAGGTGAATGATTGAGTGGTTTCCCACTTCGAGGGGTAAGGTTTCACGTCTGACACACGCTCGTCATGTTGGTACCCTAAGGATAACGGCAGCCGGCTCTGATGCCTTGCGAGGTGCTTTCTCCCCCTTGCTATGATTTTTTTTGTAACGAACGACGAACGTGATGCATGAAAAATATATTTTTAACAATGGGTGTGTTTGCCACGACTCGCAAGCGTTTCAGTATTTCTTTGGTCCCAGAGTCCCACCAGAAATAACAGAACCACTTCAGACTTCAGACATGTTTTGTCATAGTACTGTAGCTGCTTAAGATTGCATCATCCAGACGAAGATGCACACCAAGCACAAGAGGAAATTACAAGTGTTATATGTTCCCTCCTCCTGTTTGTAGCGAACAATTGGTTTCCAAGGGGCCATTCTCCACTTCCATGTTAGTTCCCGGGAGCGTAGTATATGTGTGCATATTGCATAGGCATCTCACACGCATGGCAACTAGATTATAAACAAATAGATTGTGTATGCATATAGACCCAGATGGCTGCTTACATCTATTTACATATCTTATACACACAGGGATGTAAATGTCACGGATTGGCCAGAACTGGTCCGAACAACCAAGTAGCAGGAGCTGTTTTGTGGTTTTCTCAGAAGAGGACAGAATTCCTTGATGCAGACAGGCCACTGAACGCAGCGCTGTTTGAAAAGATTTGTGCAACAGCATTCATGTACTTAAATGAAGTTATTGGCACAGAATGTGCACCAGGGATGTCCAGATGTGCTCTGGAGCTGTTACCGCTTAAGTTTGGCGGCACCTTTGGGTCGTGCCCGAGGGACATGCCAGATTGTTGAGATGTTATGTTTGTTTGTGGCTTGTGTAAGGTTTTGCAGTGAGGTTCTATTGTTGCAGCTGTTTTTTTTGAATGATATTTTTTTTGGGAGGCAGAGCTATATGTTGTGGAGATTTTTTCATGTAGATTGGAGATGTTGTTTTCTTTAGCAACACCTCTTTTTTTGAGCCCACACATATGTGACACTGTGCAAAAATTTGCCTGATAGACTCTGGAAGCTAGAGGGTATCTTACTAAAATGGAAGCAATCAATACAGTTCATGGAGTCAAAAGCTCTTCTGGTGGACTCACAACATATAGTGAGCTGGCTTTTGTTGGTTCAATATAGAATCTTTAGTGTCTTCGGGATACATACATCCGTGGCAAAACAAAGAATGCACGCACGCTTTGCTGTTGTGGCACAGTCTGTGCACAGATTCACTTGAGCAATGCTCGGCCAGGATGCTGCAGAGTTTGTCGCACGTCGCTGGGCTTTGAAAAAATGTGATTATAGAATCAGTTCAACTGCAAAGCTGTCCTATATAGGCAAGGTTCATAGATAGACCTGTGATTTGAAACGTATGCGCATCCACTTCTTTGGTCCAACAGCCAGCCTTGATGTTGATGTGAAGTCGCCAAGGCCAGTCTATTGGGGCCCTGTTGCGCGCAGCAACCTTCGTTGCACGCTTGCCAGTGCACTGGCAGCAGCACTGGTCAGGCAACAACGTGCTGGAGGCAAGGACAATTATTGAATTCTTGTTTATAGTAGCTTCTTGTTCCTAGTAGTACGGCCAGGAGCCCCTGGTAGCGTCCTTGCTCCTAGTAGCGATGCCAGGAGCCCCTAGTAGCGTCATTGTTGCTTGGCCCTCGGTCCTGTGGAGTCCAAGTTGTGTTCGGCCTCGTCGCAATGTGGGAAGCACTTCCAAACTTTAGCAAAGCCCCGGCGCCCTCAGACAATGAACTTGAGGAGGTTTGGAGAGAAGGGCCCTTTGATCAAGGCCCCTGTAAAGGACCATCAATAAAGGTGCCTTTTTCCTTGAGGCTCAATCATGTTTATATTCATTTTCCTTCTCGCTGCCAGGTGGGCTGACTCAAGCAGATGTCACAGAGTATTGCTCACGTGTGAGTCAGGAGCCGGACCTTTCCTGATTTGATGCCAGGGGCACACCTGTGACTACAATTTGAAGTGAGATTGTTTGACTAGCAAACTGCTAGTTGTTGGAAACACGAGATATCAAGCGAATGTCCTCGCAGGCTTTCAAAGCTTGAGCGACCCCTTTTCTCATTTGAGTATGTATGCCAAGGACAATGTGCAACTGTTTAGCCTACAGTACCTCCCATCAACAAGAAATGAATCAAACATGGATAAACACGAAAGAGGCTTCAAGGAGATGAACCACTTGAACGCTTGAGTTTCTCAGTTTCTCCGCAGGAAATAGGGGACACCTTTGAGCAAGTGTGGATGGAAGTACCCCACCAGCTCTTGAAGGCGGGACGCAGTTCAGACATTTTTCCTCGATCTCTAGGCGCAAATGTCTCTGCTGGTGGATTGCAACCACAATCAATCATTTACTATTTTTAACTTAATATGTCACCCTTTCAGCTGGAGTTGAGGCTTGAGACATCATTGTCCTAAACAACATCCCAGGAATTCAAAAGAGGTAATGCTTTGGACCTATGCAGGTTCAGCACAAAACGTCCCTACCAAGTCGCGAGATGGCCAGTTTGCAGAGGCAGCCTAGTTTGTATATTTTTCTGAGAGTGTGCAGTGTGCAGCAGTGAATACATAGAGAGAATGTTCAAACGATGGAAAGCGGTGGTACACTCAGTTGCATTCCACCTCCGTTGATGCTTTAGATACAGATACTTTCTTTGCATGCTGATTGTTTGTTTCAGTGCATATTCCAAGCTTTGGTCTTTATTTGGTGCGCCAAATACTATGACAATAGTTGTGCACTAAAACATGAATCTTCATTCACAAGGGCTATTCCAAATTGTGTGTTTTATTTAAATATATATATATATATTTCATGTATAAGAAGACATTCATTCAGCCAGGCTATTTGAAACATTACCTCCGAATCCATTTTATGCAAATCTTGATCAAATATTGGAAATGGATTATTAGGAAGAAATAATTATTAATAAAAAATATATATAATAAATGTATATATATATATATTGATTAATTCATAATATATTTTTTTAGATTAATAATTATAGGGTGTTTAAATGTATTATTTATTATATATATATTTAATATATATAATTTTTCTTGATATTTATATTATAGTAAAATTTGAAATGACAATATATATTTGCATAATTATTCGATATTTTAATATAAATAAATTGATTATTTATGATATGGAATTGAACATTCGGACGCGTACGTAAGGGAATAAGGCCTTATTATGATATGTTTAATTTTAATAATTATACGCGTGAGCGCGTCGTAAGTTTAATATTTGTATTTGATGCTTTGACAGAATATATTTGTATGGCATTGATAAAATTTGAACATATATATACATATATGCATTCTTTATTCTGGTTTGTTGCGATTACGCCGGTCACTTGCTCTATGTTCTGAATGACCTTCTGTTCGAATTGCCTTTTGCAGCTTTAAAAGAAAGATCCTGGCACTGTTGGCAAATGCGAGACAGCGTCATGCAAACTAGCAATATCAGACTATACGGTGCTCTTTGCAAGCATCATGAACATTGCACAATATTATGTGTATATTGGAGACAGCTTGCTCCACAGAAGCATTATGAAAAGAAAGAAATTTCTTTGTAAGCGCGAATGGGTTTTTCTCAAAATTGATGGTGCATTAATTAGCTCGATTTTCATTTCTTTAGCAGTCCTGCTGCTGCAGTCATTTTGCCACTTGCGTGGGGCCCGGCAGAGGCGCAACTGCTTCCAGGGGTCACAATCTTGAAGTCATAAATAACCGAAATAATGCGAGGCACGGTATATATTCGCGATATCGATTTTGCTTTCCAAAATTCCCAAAGTAATGCAATATGTTCGGTTCTCCCCGAAGCTTTTTCTACCGATGGTTTGCGTTGTTTATTCTTTGCCTTCCTGGTTTTTGCCGTGGGTTTGTCCACGAGTTTTGCGGCCAAGTTGGAAGGCGAAGCTAAAGCCCAGGGAGATTGTTACCTTGTCCTTGCAGGAGCTGACAACATACGATCCAATAGCTTATCACCTATATGCTACAATATCATAATCTGTATCGTATACTTGTACACTATATTCAGGAATATGTTTTCGGCATGGTGCCTCAGACCTGTCGAACAAGGGACCGAGCTTAGCGTAATTCTGGATGGATTTGGGCTGGACTCTGACTGGATTTAAGGGCTTACCTGACAAACACAGGGAGAGACGGTAGAGGGGATAGAGGCAAGAGACATGAGGCGACGGGGGCCGGGACTTCGGGCAGTCTGGCAGCATCCTTCAATGTGGAAGGGGGCTTACCGCCCGAGTGTGTGTAAGATATACCGTACCTCAATTCGGGAGAGCCGTCTCTGTCTCTCTCTCTCTCTCTCTGTGTCGCGGTCTTGCTTTGTTTCTCTCCCGTTCTATTTTTGTTGCCCTCGCTTTCCGTGCCGGCCCAACACAGGGAGAAAGTCAGACGGTAGAGGGGATAGAGGCGCTGTTTCTTTCCCTCTCCCTGTCTCTGTCTCTGTCTCTCTCTGTCCGTTTCGTTGTTTCCTTCCCTCTCTCTGTCTCTGTCTCTCTGTCTCTCTCTCTCTCTCTGTCTGTCTGTCTCTCTGTCTTTTTGTGTCTGTCTCTCTCTCTCTCTCTCTCTGTGTCTGTCTCTCTCTCTGTCTGTCTGTTTGTCCTGTCTCTGTCCCTGTCTCTGTCCCTGTCTCTGTCTGTCTCTCTCTGTCTGTCTCTCTCTGTCTGTCTCTCTCTGTCTGTCTGTCTCTCTTTGTCTGTCTCTCTCTGTCTGTCTTTTTGTGTCTGTCTCTCTGTCTGTCTCTCTGTCTGTCTCTCTGTCTGTCTCTCTATCTGTCTCTCTATCTCTCTCTCTCTCTCTCTATTTGTCTCTCTCTCTCTCTGTGTCTGTGTGTTTTTGTGTCTCTCTGTGTCTTTTTGTGTCTTTTTCTGTCTCTTTGTGTCTCTCTCTCTATGTTTCTCTCTGTCTCTTTTTGTGTCTCTTTGTGTCGTTTTGTATCTTTTTGTGTCTCTTTGTATCTTTCTGTGTCTTTTTGTGTTTCTCTGTTTTTTTTTGGCTTCTTTCTGTTTTTTTTGTGTTTCGTTGTTTTTCTGTCTCTTTGTCTTTTTATTCTTTTGTTTTTTGTTTTTGTATTTCTTTGTCTTTTTGTTTTTTTGTTTGTTTGAATTTATGGTTTTCTTTTTGTTTGTTTTTTTAAATTATGTGGGTTTGAGGTTATTTTGGATTGTATAGTTTTTTTCGTATTAGGGGTTTAATGTTAAGGTATTGTTGGATAGAATCGACGAATTTTGGTTGGATGGCGATTTTGGTATTCGAAACTAATTGTTGAATAATTATATGCTAATTAAGTTAAATATTTATAATGGGGTGTTATTCGTGCTTTTTGATAATTTTGGGACAACATTTTGCGATTTCTGATATTGATTTATGTTTTGTTCGCTATCCGCTATAAAGGTTGCTGTAGGTAATAAGGAATGTATAGAAGGCCATCGATGAGATTTGTAATAGAACCGGGCAGCAGCGAGTGCCGCTTTCGTGGCCGGTTACAAAGAATGTGTTTTGTTATTGCATAAAAATTATTGATCGGATGAATGGAAGGCAGATTTATGTAAGGAAAAGGAGGTCCGTGGCGTATTAATTTCTTGATCTTTCGATTTGCATTTATTAGAATTATATTTTTTCGTTATTGGAAATAACGGATTGATTCTCCCTCCAAAAAATACTGAATTATGAAACCTTATTTTAGCTTTAAAATGTGGTAAGTATATTTTCTAGTTTTATATTAAATATTTATTGTATATAGTTTTGAATATTGTTGAATATAGATGTATTATTTTTTAGTAATATATAAATTTTTAGATTAAATTGTTGTGATTATTTCCATTTATATTTTATCGTTTTGAAATGACATATTTGATCCTAAATCTAAAGAATATGGTATTTTCTATAATTCCAAATGACAGAATATTTTCTATGTTTAGTGCGAAGATTATTATTGGATTTTCGATTAATGATTAGAATATTTATACACTATTTCCATGAATTCTAGGACGATAATCAACGATTTTTAAATTTATATAGTGGCTTTCATAGATTTGACATTTTCTGAGGATATTAAAATAGCGTTCAACTCACAGTCTTGACAAGCAAAAAACAACAACTTCTACCGACTTGACATTCATGTGGGGGGCAGGGGGGCAGCGGGAGCAGAGGGGACAACAAAAAGGGTCACATAAACCTGAACATGAACGCAATCAGTAACAGAACGCTTATTTTCTATCCCAAACAACTGTCTTGGGAAATATGCGGTGTGTGCAACATGGTCCTGGGCTACAAACTAGCAACACACAACAAAAATGAATATATTTTTATATATATAGCTTGGTTTCTGAATTTCCCATTGCAGAAGTTCACCCAATATCAGGCAATCAGCCCAAGCCCAAATTAGATTGTTGTCAATCTATATTGCCAGAGACATTCTAACAAGCAAACGCATTCCAAATTCAAACGGCAGAATTAATATGTCCACCACTAGGTCAAGATATCCTAGATAGGAACACTCGTGGCGAAAAGTGCTTCAAAATCACATATTTCATTCCTTCCTTCCTGTCTATACAGAAAAAATGAAAAAAAAATATAGAATTAATATTATATATCAATCGCTACCGCTATCAAAATCTAAAAGACGTTTTTTTGGTAATTTACCTTGCAATCTTAACATACAAAGTGCCATTTATGGTAATGAAAATAATATAATCTTAGCACCACACACACCGCCCATATATTAAGGGATGACAAGGTCTATAAAATACACTTTAATTTAATTACGGCCAAATAGAAATTCTATCTATATACAAAAAAATAAAACATAATTTAAAATAAATCTATAAGACAATTTTATCTTTAAAAAAATAAATAATATTTCAAATGATTTCGAGCATAGATTTAATAAAAATATTTAATTAAAACGATTCAATTAAATTATAAAATAACTAAAAAATACCACGAATCCCTCCATATATAAATTTATTAACCAAAAAATTAAGTATTTATATATTTATCAAATTATAATATATTCGTCCTTTACATATTCCGTCGACACTTCCTTCGTCCAAATCAATATCGAATCCTCTATAAAATAATCTTCCATAAATACATCAAATTATTTATATAAATTATATTTTAATTCTATATAAATTAAATTATATTTTATAACAAATATATATATATATAAATTTATTATAAAATATATTAGTCAATAAAAAAAATATATTCGAATATTATTGTAATTCATTTTATGTATTTTTTTTTTTAATTATTATATTTATTTTTTCTATATTTTATTTAATAATATTCAATTATATTTATTATTAATAATATTATTAATTATTCAATAATATTATTCAATAATATTATTTATTATATATTTATTAATAATGTATATTATTTATTAATATTATTAATTCATTAATTATTAAATTATTATTATTATTATCATTATTATTGTTATTATTACCACCATTACCCTTATCATTATTATTATTGTTGCTACTACTACTACATACTACTACTACTGCTACTGCGACTACGACTTACGATTGTATACGGCTACGATGACTACTACTACTACTACTACTACTGCCGCTACGACGACTATATCCTACTCAGAGCAAGTGGATCCTCAATGGTTCCTCAGATTTTATTGATCTTGATCTTATTGACCTTCCACGCACCCTGGGTCAAGTCTTCGCTGTCGTCGAGCTTCACCTTCGAAGCTCGTTGGATGAGTTCTTCGAGCAACTTCTGGAACAGCGGTTGAGCGACTCTGGATCCTTGGTATTGGTGGTTCCATTCCTTCGAGGTCAGCAGCATGGACGGCATGCTGATGCTGCCTCTCAGGATGAAGGAAGGATCCAGAGCCATCTGATTGAGCATGTTCTCCTGTCTGAGGCTCAAGCGGGCAAGCATCTGCAGCAGATTGTCTCCATTCGATGTGTTATCCGATGAGTTGGAGGACGGTCTGGATCGGTTGTGGCCATTGTGGAGCCTGGACGGTGTGGTGTCTTCGGTACTGGGGCGTTTGCCATATGTCCGTGAGCTCTTGAAAGCTTTGATCGTCTGGATGCATACTGCCGGACGTCTTGGGAGCTCTGGTCGAACCAAGATTTCAATTTGACCCCAGGTGACGTCACCTGGGGTCAAATTGAGATCTTGGGCCAGGACATGCCCTACTTTGTACAATGAGGGCAAGTTGACAACCAAGATGTTCATGAACGAAATGGTGCATCGGAGACCACAGGTCTTCATCCCGCTTGACTCTCTGGCCATGGTCTGCAGTGTGTTTTTGTGTGTTTTTTTGTTTTTCAAGGTTTTTTGCATATATTGTTTGTTCACATTGTCGAGCTTGATCAGCAGATAGAAGGCTTTGAAGCAAAGAGTTAAAAGAAGGCGCGTTTCTACAATATGCATGCCTTCACCCCCCCCCCCCCCCCCCTTCTGGAAATTTACCACACTAACTCTCAACAACATCAACTTCAACATGAGCAACTTTTAGTCTGATCAGCAGAAACACAAAAAAGCACGCAAGCTCGCCAAAATTATGGCGGTCATGCCACATGCAGAAAATACTGTTGCAGCCAGGTTCAAAGTTGAAACCTTCCATCGGGTTTCCACTGTATTCTATTTCCATTTGGTAGTCGGTTGCCAAAGAAACGGTTCAAAGTTCGAGTGTGTGCATTGATTTGGAAAGCGAGGATGCCAATGATGACAATGTGGTATTTCCATGTATTTCCAATCCTGTTCGCAGATCGTCTGTTTGAAATCTTCTATGCTGGTGAGTCTTATAAGCGTTGTGCAGGAGTCCGTGCATCATCATGTTGTCCATTCTTGTCAGAAGGGTATGGGAACTATCCAGATTATCTAGCAGAAAGGAGGGTTCAAATTGATGTGTTTGCCTTGGTGGTCCAAAAGATGGATGGAATACACTCGGTGGTCTTTAGATAGCAGGTTGCTTGGGCCGGAGCTTGCAACTATTAAGGGCTGCAATTGCTTGATTGACAGAATTCTTGAGTTGGTGGGATACACAACGAACTTCCATAGAAAAGCGAGCCCTGCTAATTCCCGACCTGTTGTTAGTTTTTCCTAAAGCGTCAGCTCGAAACCAGATTCAGCAGGGGAAACCAGCAGCATCGCACAGCTTCGCTTGGCTCGTTTGACCACCGGCGATATTCATCAAATCTGTGATATGCTAAATGCCTAAGCCGGGCATTTTGGGCAGCACATCCCGTTCTCAGTGGTGGGCAACACCTGAATGCATCAACTCCGCACGTCTTGACCTTGCTGGAATATTTCAATCCACCTTCTGTTTTCATTCGATAAACCACCATCCAATACAATCCAATACACCAAAGCTGGCAACAAAGGCAGCAAAGTTTGCGCCTCTTCCTTTGCGCACATGGTGGGGAAGCACCACACCTAGGCAGTCAAAACTTGCAGGTTCGCAGCACCTTGTCTGGGTGGTGAAAATTGTTTTGCTGAAACT